GGAGGATTACCATACAAGGTTGGTCCAGACAAAAAGGAGACCCTATCTGAAAAATAATGAGAAAGGGCCAGGAGTGTGACTCAAGTGGTAGAGTACCAGCCTAGCCAGCATGAATCCCTGAGGTCAAAATTCTAGTACCATCAAAAAAGAAAAAAGATTAAAACAAAAACAAACAAAAGATGCTCTACCCCTGAGCTCTTACTCACCGATGAGCACAAAGTCATCATTAGTGATTTAGTTCTTTGGGCAGTAAAGCCTTCTGCACATAGACCTCATGTTCTCTCTCCCTAACAGAGTCCCTCTGAGACCTAGGGGTATAGCACAAGGCCCTGGGTTTGATCCCTAGCACCACAAAAAAACCAAAACCATAAACAAAACAAACCTCCCATTGAGCCCAGGATGGTGGTTCACTTCTGTAATCCCAGCGCTTAAGAACTGAAGTGGGCAGAACCTCAGTTCAAGGCTAGTCTGGGCTACATAGTGAGACCCTGTCTCAAAAAAAAAAAAAAAAAACGAACAATGAAAAGAAAAAGAAAAACAGTAGCATGGCTGAGAGATGCCACTGGAGTCTGGACACCATCTCCTCATCTGTGAAATGAGGTCATTATGTTACCATAATGGGGTTACGTGAGGAGCAAATGAAGTCATGTAATCAACATGCCTGCTCCCACGCAATGTTTACTTACTAAGCAGAATCATTAGGATGGGCCTCCTTCCACTATGGTCTATGCCACGAATATTCATTGAGAACCTACTATGTGCCAGGCACTCTTCTCAGCCTTTGGGACTCATCTGTAAGTGAACATCAAAATTCCTTTCTTCCTGGGGCTAAGACAGTAGACAATAAGTAAAATTTATGGTATGTTATTAGATAGTATATGCTAAGAAGGAAAAAATAAATAAGGGTTGAGGGTTAGGAAGTTTTGGGAAAGAGTTTAACATTTTTAACTGAGTGGCCAGAGAAACCTTCCCTGAGTAGCCTGAGGGAAGGGAGGTGTATCTGTTTCCCATTGCTGCTCTAACCGATTACCACAAACAGTAAAAGCAGTATTTCATAGTTCTTGAGGTTAGGAACTCAAAATGGGTCTTGCTGGGCTAAAACCAAGATGGTGAAGCCAGTGCCAGTGGCTCACTTCTGTAATCCCAGTTACTCAGGAGGCAGAGATCAAGAGGATCATGGTTCAAAGCCAGTCCGGGCATAGTTCACGAAACCCTATCTTGAAAATACCCAACACAAAAATGGGCTGGTTGGTAGAGTGTCTGCCTAGCAAGCATGAGGCCCTGAGTTCAAACCCCAGTGCCACGCACACACACAAAAAGATGTTGGCAGAGCTGCATCGTCTGGAAGCTCCACAGGGGACCCCTCCCTGCACCTTCTAATGTTTCTGCAGGTCGCCCACGTTCCTTGCCTAGTGGCTCTGCATTTCTTCAACTTCTGCTTCCAACTTTGACTTTTCTGTCTCTGTCCTCTCCTCTTATTAAGGACTGTTGTGATTAATGGAGCCCAACTGGATATTCCAGAATAATCTCCCCATTGAAAGACCCTTAACTTGATCACATCTGCAATGTCCCCTTTGCCATGGAAGGTAACAGCCACAGGTGCCTGGGAGTTAGGATATAGGAATTTGGGGGGGCTATTATATTGCCCACCACAAGCAGTATCTAAAGGAAGCAGGAACAGCAAGTTCAAAGGACCTGAAAGCAGATTACCTGGCATGTTGGAGGAAGATGGAAGCCAGTGAGGTTGGAGTAGTGGACAAAATGGAGGGAGATAGGATCAACAGAGGAGTGTCTCTTGCAGGCCTTTGTGGGTCCCAGTGAGGACTTTGGCCTTGACCCAAGATGGAAACTGCTGGGGAACATGATCTCACAGGTTTTAACAGGCTGCTGTGCTGAGAACAGACCACCTATGACGACCCTGAAGCAATGCCCAGGTGAGATGATGATGGCTGGACCACAGCAGTGGAGGGAAATGGTGAGATGGAATATCATTTTGGATTTTGAAGCTCAAGCTGCAAGGAGATACTTCTGTGTGTGACAGAGCAAGAATCAAGGAGGACTCCAAGGTTTTTGTCCTCAGCAATGGAAGGAATTAAGATGCTCTTTATGGGTTGGGAATATAGCTCAGTGGCAGAACATGTGTTTAGCAAGCACAAGGCCAAGTTCAAACCCCAGCAATCCTTCCCTCCAAAAAAGATGCTCTTTGTAGTAGTCTGTTTTCTAGCATGATAACAAAATATCTCAGGCAGATTACTTTTTAAAGAAAATAGGTTTATTTAGCTCATAGGAGGCTGAAAGTCCAAGATTGAGTGGCCCCATCGACTTGGCCTCTGGTGAGGGCTAGTGGCTGACAGCATTGAAGCTGGAGCACATGCAGTACCACTGGGATCCTTTCACCAGACAGGAAGCCAAGAAGGATTCAGGGGTCAGGCTCTGGCTGTTGTAACAACTCATTCTCATGAGAACTTGATCCCAAGAGACCAGGATTCCTCTATGTGGGCAGTGTCCACATGCATTCAAGGGCCTCCAACTAGACCCCACCTCTTAAAAGGGAGGTTCCAGCCAGGTGCCTGCGGCTCACGCCTGTAATCCTAGCTATTCAGGAGGCAAATATCAGCAGGATCTCGGTTCAAAGCCGGCCTGAGCCAATAGTTCCATGAGACCTTATCTCAAAAAACCCTTCACAAAAATAGGGATGGTGGAGTGACTCAAGGTGAAGGCCCTGAGTTCAAGCCCCAGTACCTCAAAAAAAAAAGAAAAAAAAAAAGGGAAGTTCCATCACCTCCCACACCACCACACTGGGGACAAGTTTCCCTATATGAACCCTTGGGGATAAATCGTATTGGAATTCCAATTTTCAACACACACACACACACACACACGTTTTAATTAGCTTGACTGTGGTAATTACTGCACAAAATATACATGCATTAAATTGAGTTGTATACCTTTACTATACATAGTTTTGTTTTTGTTTTTTTCAGTACTGAGGTTTGAACTCAGGACCTACACCCCTGAGCCACTCCACCAGCCCTTTACTGATGGGTTTTTTTTTTTTTTTTTTTTTGAGGCAGGGTCTCTAGAACTATTTACCCAGGCTGGCTTTGAATGGCAATCTGCCTGATCTCTGCCTCCTGAGTAGATAGGGTTACATTTGTGAGCCACCAGCATCCAGTCATTGTTTTTTTTGTTTTTTAATTTAAGATGGGGAAGACCACAGGAAGGCAGGCTTGGGCTGCTGGTGAGGAGATTAGGAATTTGCTTTGAGATATCTGTTGGCTATCCAAATGCATAAACTGAGTAGAAAGTCAGATCTCTGGGTCTGGCAGTTAGGAGAAGAGGTCTGGAGAGGCGTGTTTGGGAAGTATCTGCATTTGAGTTATGTCATGGTCAATTATCAACTTGACTGGGCTTTGGATGTCCAGATATAGGATTAAGCATTATTTCTGGGTGTGTCTGTGGAGGCATTGCCAGGAGAGATTAGCATTAAATTGCTGAGTGGGCCTCCTCTAATTTCTAGAGGTTCTGGATAGAACCAAAAGGCAGGGAAGTTGGATTCACCTCCCTCTACCTGACAACAGGAGCTGGGACATTCTTCTACCCTCACACTCCTGGTTCTCAGGCCTTCAGACTCCAACTAGGATCTACACCAGTGGCCTCAGTCCTAGCTCTCCTGGCTTTACATCCTGCAGATCCCAGGGCTCATCAGCCTTCAGTCACTTGCACCAATCTCTTACACGAAATTCCTCCTCTTGGTTCTCTCTGGAGAACCCTGATTAATTCAGATATTTAAAGCCATGAACCCAATGAGCTCTCTCAGGAGTGGGTGTAAGAGAAGTCTAGGGATTGGGGTTTCAGCATTACAAAGACGACAAGGACTGAGGCCTGGGTCCTCTGATAAGGAACCAGGGATATAGGAAGAAGATGAGGTCCTGGAAGAATGAGAGCAGAATGCTACCAACTCTGCCCAACTCTGCGCGTGGAATGAAGGGTGGGTGGAAAAAGCATGACCACCCCTGCTTTCTGAGAGCTGGTTTCTGGCTTGGTGTTTAAGGGAGACAATGGGAGAATTTGGACCTCCAAGGTAGCATTGCTGGGTCTGCTTTAAAGGCCCGGCCCCAACGCTCACCATAACCTCCCTCTGATTTCAGCTCGTCACTTCTGGTCTGCCATGGCTAGACTGACCCCCTGGTCTGAGACGGTACCCCTGTGCCAGGATCCTACAGTACCTGCTGCTTCCCCTTGATGGAGCGCTCCCCACACCACGCCAGTTCCCATGCTTGTGTTCCCCAACAAGCTAGGTACACTGTGGATTTCTGGGAAGACTCCTTGTTTCTGTGGCCTCAGTGCCTGGTATCTATGAGTCTAAGAGATGCTTATGGAACGGAGTATTCCTTGAAAGCCCTTCTCATGCTAGCATCTGGTCCTTTGTTCTGCAGAACTCCAGTCCCTGGGCTTCCTCTCCTGACAGCTGCAGTGCTGGGACCTTCGAAGTCCCTGAATGGCTCAACAGAGACCCTCACAGCACAACCTACTAACACTAAGTATCAGCAACATGGCAAGGAAAGGGCTTTGGACCTGAGCAACAGCCTCTGTTCTAGCATGCTCAGGAAGCCCAGACTTGGGTCTAAGTGGAGATGACACCTGCCCATCCCTTAAGCTCCTCCTCAATACTGACAATATTTGGGAAAGTGCCTGGCACATGGCCAGCTGGACAGTCGGATTTCCCAGAGGCCAGGGGTTTTCCTCAGCAGCTGATTCAGGCACATGAGTAGATAGCCCGAGGCTGTGTGAGGCCTCTGTTGCACTGCACTTGGTCTTTCTCAAGCTCTGAGGAGAAGTAAGTCTTCCTGAGGCAACAGGAACCTAAGCAGTGAGTGGGGCCCAGACCAACTGGAAATTTTAACTTGCTTACAGACGTCCAGTATTTCCAATGACTAAAGGCCACAGGAAGCATTTGGCTGGACCCTTCCTGAAAACATGTTCTAGAATGGCTTGGCCTGCAGGGCTGCTCTGACCAAAGTTACCCTGTCCTGCCCATCTTGCCCCACTGTCCCACTTCTCCGGGTGCTGGCTTTTCCCTTGCTCCCAGGTAGAAACCCAGGCTGCCCCATTCCCTGGCAGCGGAGTTTATTGACTGGCAGGTTCAGCATGCATGAGTTTATTGACCTTTATTTCTCAACGTAACTTTTCCTCACTGGTCAGAGAATAAAAGAATTGCAGAGAAGAGTATGCAGGTACAAGTGTGTCATGAAGTGTGTCATGGTGGGATGAAAAGAGGTTGGTCTGAAAGTGGCAAGCCTGGTATTTCAGAGGCTCAGTTTGTGCCCAAGAAATCCACACATTCAGCCACATCCCTTCCACGTGCTGGAGAATGGGCATTATCTGGTCCAGGCCTTCTACAAGTTCTCCCACTGGGCACCTTTGGCACCTAGCCTTTTGAGGAATGTGGGATTGCTAACCCTGCATGACCATGACATCCCAACCTAAGCACAGCAAGGCCTGACACCTTACACAGCAGAGATGAAGGTGACAATGAGCAGGAGATGCACAAATACTGGGAGAGGGTGCCTGTCAGTAGCACTAGGTCATGTCTCCAAATGGGAGTGTGACTCCACTAGCGGCTGGATGCAAGGATCAAGTAGAGAGCTGACGGAACTTCTAGAAACCCTCTCGGTGCAGCATCTGTCATGGGCATTATGGTCCCTTGTACTCTAAAGCAATGCAGGAGCACAAGGAAGATCTGCCTGGCTGAAGCCTGGGGACCATCATGACTGTAGGGATCTCTGTAGTCAGAGGGCGGTGCAGCCATCTCAGAAAGATAACAGGATGTTGATTCTTGGGAGAGCTGTCCCAGGGTGCTCAGGCCACCAACCTGGCCCCTCAAGCTTCCACTTCTACCGCTTCTTCTTTGTCTCCTTCTTGGGCCTCTTGCTGACAGAAGGAACAGTAGCCTTGGGCTTCCGTACCACCTCTGCACTTCTAGGCTCAGATGGTTCCATCTCCTGCATGACAATAAAAACAGTCCTGCTTAAAAGAGTCAAGCCTGATGAAAGGGACTTTTGCAAACTGAAGCACACCAAAAAAACCACTAGGGATGGGAACCATGATAACGGATCCACATGTATATGGGGCTGGATCACTTCCCAGCTAAGTGATCTTATGCGCAACTCATGTCCCCTCTCTGTGCCGCCTGGATGCATTCACCTGTGAAATGGAAACAGTGATGCATACCTTGGAGGCCTCATGTGAGGAGGAGGAAATGCCTAGAAAGTACCAGGAAGCTGCGGTTGCACCGAGCAAGGGGCTGGCTGTGGGGCAGACTACTGTGGCTGGCTCTCCTTTTGGCAGCCACTCTCTTTTTCCCATCCAACCCACAGAAGGCCAGGGCAGTGGGTAGAGAGCAGCAGGCAGGTAGGCAGTCATCAAACTGTGCTCTGTGTAGCCTGGCAGACGTGCCCTTGGGGAGGAGTGCCATAGGCGCTCTGTTCTATTCATTGTATAAAGTGTTTCGGATAAATCTTAGGAGGAATAAATCACAAAGATTTTGCTGCTGAAAAGATAAAAAACAGTTCAAAACCACAGATTCAGGCCCAGCCTATTCACTGCGCTAATAAAGAGGTTGAACTACTGGAAGGGACAAGCCTGCCCCAGGGCATTCAGGCTCATGCCAGTGAACAATCTGGAACAGACTCAGTCTGCTCCTATCTAGGTTCCTCTCCTCTGGGAAACAACACACAGTGTGCTATGGCCAGGAAGGATATCAGAGAGGCCAGGCTAACCCAGGCACTCTAGTCACAGACTATACAGGCCTCATCTGGTCCACAGGCAAATTTCACTTGGCTTAGAGTTATTTTCAAAAATTTAAGCCAATTGGATGGCTTCCCATTAAATCTGAACTCCCAGCTCCTCCTGAAAACTTCATACATGGCGATGCTGGCCCTGCACTCTCTAAGGGCCCAATAGCTCCTGAGTGCTGCCCTTTCATTGAGGTGGGCGTTACCCCAACCCCTAACACAGAAGAGGGAAAGGTTCTGCAGTGCCCTGACATTTATGAAACCAGGAAAATGAAAAGCAGACTAAGACTTACTGGAAGGGAACACACTTGCTCTAAAAGACAAAAATATTCCTCCATGTTTAACGTTCTCTCCTTTCTGACTTTCCCTGCTCACACCCAGTCCCTGAGGAGGCTTACCCTACCACAGCTGGGGGTGATGTGATGCAGTCTCTGCCACAGGTCCAACACAGATGCCTGTCAACTCCCTCTTATGGGCCATCACTATCTCCAGCCAGTCAAACAGCAGAAAGAAGATCCTGCCAAGCCCCAGGCTCAAGATAACAGGAGGCCACCCTTCCCTGCTAGGCCTCAAGTCTGAAGCTTTGCATTCTCCTGGCTGCTGGGCCTTATCTTGTCAAAACTCAAAATGATGTCCAGCATTCCCCTATGCTGATATATATATTCCCCTATGCTGTATATGAAACCTGGCCAAGAAATAGAAAAGATCAGCCTATTACAAAAGCAACCAAAACCAAACCTCAGAGGAATGTGTGCCAAATGCCCACACCGACAGCTGCAGAATCCATGAGGAAGGCTCATGGTTAATGCAGACCTGATGGGGCACTTGGGAGCTTGCTGCAGTACCTGTGGTAGTGGAAACCAGGTGGTCCTGGAGTTCCCTGGGCAAAGGCAAAGACTGCCTGGTCTCCAGGACAGAGCCTCCATTCTGCACTCAATGTGGGGCCTCTGGCATCAGTGGGTTCTGGTACAGAATCCACAGAGACTGTGATGCCCAGTGGCTGCCTAGGGCCTCCTCACTCCACAGACCCTCCCTGGTGCCTCAGTCCTCCTGGCCTCCCAGACTTCTGCCCTCACCCAGCTGTCAATATTAAACATGTCCCATGAGCCTCCAACTCAACTGTCCCAGCCTGTATGGCCTCTTCTCCAGCAGCCTAGCCTCCTCCAGTAGGTAGGGGGACCAGAGCCCAGTGACCCACCCTCCTCTCTTCTGAACTTTGCTGTTCTCTAGCATCTAAGTTCCTTCTTTAGTTCTTCCTGCTGCCACCATCCCAGTCCTCCCATCTGCCAAAGGGACTCCTGAAGTGCAGGTCTGACCACTGCTCCCCACTTAACCTTGGTTTTCACCACCAGCAGCTTCACATTCCACTGGTGGACTGGCAGCTAAGGAGGTCACCTCTCCAGTCTCACTTGGGCTCTTCTCTATCCCCACACTGGTCAGGTCCAGGGCTTCCCTCACCACCTCTATCAAGATTAACATCCTTTTTTCCTTTTCCCCCCAACCCCAGCAAACCCCATCCTATGACTGAGCCCCACTCAAGAACACATTCCAACTAAACGACCAGCTATCCTTCTCTGTTCGTCCACCTCCAGGCTGGGGCAGCTCCTTCTCCACCCCTAGTATTCAGGAACCTTATAATATCACTATTACTTTACCATGGTGACATATTTTCATGTCCACCTCCTCCATTAGCTGGTGAGCTCTTTAGGACAGCTTCCATTGTTGCTGGGAGAGCGTACAAAATGAAAGAACAAACAAGGCTTCCCATAACCACAGGAACTTCATCCTTATTTATCGCTCTGAAGGTACAACACTAGGCCTCACCTTTTTCCATGGACACAGAGGACACAAGCAGTCTTAAAACACAGCCTACACAACGGCTATGCATGGCACAGCACTACGACCACCATGGCCACCACAGCCACCAGCGCCTGGTACCACCACATCACCACCACCACCACCACTGCTGCAACAAAAGCAGTCAAGTAGTTATTATTTACACTATGCCAGTCCGTGTTACATGGTCTGGACATAGTTTAGCATCTGAGTGCCATAATGGCCCCATTTTACAAAGGAACAGACCCTGAGAGAGGTCATGTGACTTGCCTAAGAGCTCAGCTGGTCAGTAGTAGAGCCAGGACCTGAACCTAATCTCTTACTGTGTTCTCAGTATGTCTGGGAACCTCAGGGCTTCCTGAGGACCTTGAGACTATGGATACATTGCATCTGAGTTAATTATGAAATCTATTTTCTCTACTTAGCAGACCCTGGAACACCAGGTAACTCTGGAATGACAAGAATGGTTTGTTCTAGATTCCGTATGCCAAAGGGTCACTCTGAGGCTCCTGTTTGTGACTAACATTCCTATAGGAGTCAGGAAAGTGGGTTAGCGCTCTGGAGTCAGTCTTTGTTTTTCACATCTGACAGTGGCTCCCTGTGGGTGTGTGTGCATGTTACAGTCATTGCGTCATCCAAATGCATTATCTGTCTCCTCTTCACTCAGCCTCTTTTTTCCCCCATTTCAGTTTCTGGCCACTGCCACCCATCCAGTTACCCAGGCTAGACAGCATTCAGTCACCCAAGTCATTTCTCAGCCCTAATCATCCCCTTGTACCCCCACATCCAATCTGTCTCCAAGTCCTGTTCATTTCACTTTCCAAGGGGCTCTTTTCAAGAGGATTCCATGATGTTCTGCCCATCCTTCACTGTCCCAACTGCCCAGAGGTTTTACTGCCTTTCCCTCACACCATTCCACTCCCATCTTCCCCCACATTGCTTCCAGAGACTATTTGCAGGACAATAGTCCCGAACATCTCTGTTTTCTGGTTTTAAAATGTTGTTGGCTTCCCCTTTCTATGAGGTCAATTCCAAGCGACTCAGCGCAGCCTCCTTGACCATTTCACAATAACCTTGGTCTGTCTCCAGGCATGCCCCTCCAGCAGCCCCTGTCACTCTGGGCTACTGGCAGCCAGGAGCTTCCAGACACTGGTCCTCTCATTTGTCGCTGACAGGAGCTCATCATGCATCACCTATCTATTTGTACCCAGTACATACAGGTAGTCTGCCGACCACTGAGAGGCAATGCAGAAGGGCACACACACTTGGCGGGAGTGTTCTGTGCAAGCACTTCACCTTCATCAGCTCAGTGGGCCTCTTAATTACCCTGATGAGCTAGCACTGGGAGCCACATATACAGTAAAGGAGACTGAGACTCAATGACACTGGGTAACTGACCCAGTGAAGCCAGGCCACTAAGAAGCAAAGGTAGCTATTACACAAGTGACTTGGATTTTTGGGTTTAGAGACACAGGACCTGTAGCTCCACTTCTTAACTGACAGGAGGAACTGAATGAATGGATGACTTAATGTCTCCTCAGATATGTATTGTGGGACAAGCCAGGCATATGGCAGACGACATACTCTATAGCCTCCCTTTAAGTCTGGGAGCAATGAGTGTCCTCTGAAGCCAGATGGAAGTTTCCTCAGCAATCACACTGTTAAAGGAAACAGAAAGCCTCGGCTGCCAGGTGGTTTCTGGGTCGGGGCGGGGAGGGGGGCGGGCATCTTCTGTGGACACAGGCCCCATCAATAATGAAGTAGCTCTACAGCCGCTCACCAGGACAGAAAATTGCTGCTATTCATCAGACCCAAATAATGGAATCTGTGCCACAATGCATCCAATCCCTTCCAGCAGGGAAGGTACAATGTGGCTTTAGTCCTGTAAATCAGGACAAAATGTCATTCTATAGAGACTTGAAGCCATTCTCTTCTTGAGAATGGTCCAGGAAAAGAAAAGCACTGTGCTATGCTTGGGTACCATCATGCAGCCACCTCACTCAATCCTCCAAGAACCGTGTAAGTCCTCTTTCTATGGCTTAGGACCAGATACATAAAGGTTCACCTATAAAAAGAATGGGCCAGCACTCAGACCAGACCAGCCTAATGCTGAAGCTCTGGTCTGTCTGTTGCACCACTCTTGCCTGAGGCCCTTGGGCAGGCTGGGGACTGCAAAGACCTTGCAGAGAGGGAGCTAGCGCTGGCCTTAATAAGAGGACAGCGGGGGAGGCAATCCATGTGGGCTCAACTACATGAACGAAGACACAGCGTCCAGGACATGCTTGGCAGGCAAGTGGAACTGTGATTAGAAAGAACAGCCTTGGGAGCTCATTCCAGAACAATTCGGCATGCAGGCTCTTCCCGTTGGCTGG